CATAAAATCTCGGAGTAATAATACTAGATGCAATTAGTCGTTTCTTCTCTACGTCTGTTAAAGTTAAACAGTTTTTAACACTTGTTTTTACAAGTTCGTGATACTTATTAGTAGGGTTATTCTTAACTTTTTTTATTATGTACTTGTCTCTAACATATATTCCACCCCCTTTAACGGTAGTCACATTTATTAAGTACTACAATTTGCCCTCCTTTATTAGCTTTACAAATATCAATATTATTATTATTATCTTATCCAAAAATAGATTTGTAACAAGTAGTATGTCAGCTGTGGTAAGCAAAGTCTGGCATTTTGTAACATGTGAGAATCTAGGAACACAAAGGTCAGTGGCAAAAGCCCACGAACAGTATGCAGCATAATCAAAAAGGATGTCTGTTTGGAAGAGCAACGTAAGTTACTTTCACACAAATGCATTGTTGAGAAGATATTACTTCTGAATTGGATTATATTGTTGAGAGGAATTGAAATTCTCATCAAAGGCATTCTTGACAGCAGCTTACAGGCTCTCAGCAGAACCATCTTCCACTTCAATAGCCATCAATAAGATATCTATTAGTTCCTATTGTGGTAGAATCTCATCAAGAGAACAAGAAATTGGGAGGTGGAAATATCAATGGATTAATGTATGATTAGACAAAAACACATTGTTCTTACGAATTGGCAACAGTGACTCACTCTCTTTTCTAATGGTTCTTGCTTCCATAAAATACAATGATTTAGTTCTCTTCATCTTGATTTTTTGGGTAATTTTATGGTCCAGAAACATTCTTCTCGTCAGTTTAGTTACATGGTTCCCCTGAAAGAATGACATTCTGTGCTCAGCTATGAATTCATATAGCAAAACTTCAGTTTTCTCAATCATTTCTATAGCATCCAGTTTTGTCCATTTGTTGAAAAACATCCTGATTTACACTGTCCTTTGTTTAGCTCTGAATGCACTGTCATGCTTATTCGTGGCTTTCTGTGTCATTAAATCTGGCCTGTTTGCATTTTTTCAACTTACAGTGACGCACTGTGCAAATGACAATAGATTTATTAGTTTTATCGCGATTTAATCCCTCAAGTCAGGGTCCTTTAGCTAAGCAGTATTGGAGGTCTGTGTATACATTTTTTTTCGATAGAGAGTTGTCTTCTACATTATCACTAACCTTAAGTGTCAGCTGGGTCACTTATCTAAGACACAGTGAATGGAACATGACTATCAATGATTCAAATGAATTTAGTTTATGTCAATGTTTGCTTTTGCTCTCCAAGCTTGGAGGGAGGAACGCTTCAGGGGTGGGATGATATTAAAACATTTTATTGCCATTGGTCATTTAAGTACATTATTCACATGGCAGAACATAAATTGTAGGTATTTTTCAAATAATGTAATATATTTTGTATACAGTATGTCATTTTGAGAAAACTTGATATTCGACAACTTCACACAAGGAAAATATTGTT